ATTTGCGCAATACTTATGGGGTCCCACAAAATTTTTGTAAATATTATGGGGTCCTAGGGGTCGCGAGAAAACCTCGGTGATAAAAAGGGGTCGCGACTGAAAAACGTTTAAGAAACCCTGGTTTAGACAAGTCGAAAAAGTCGAGGGTATCGCCAGTGTAAGACGCAAAAGTAAGTAACACAAATTTAATTGAAAAAAAAAAAAAAAATGAGGATGACAATCAAAGTATAGGAAACCATCCCATAGCTTTATAATAGTCCCTCTAGGGCTAACAATTTATCAAGTCACTTCACTTCGCCTCTATCATCCGGTGATTTATGGACAATCCTTACCACAATCGATGGGAACTCTTGGGAATACCGCATTATAATATTCTTCATTTATTCCTCCAATCGTGTCTTTTGCAGTGAAGACAACATCCGTCTGCCTGTTTTGATGTCGTTATTCCAGAACTGTCATACACCAGCAAACGTTTACTTTTTGATCATCGGGTACGCGGTGCATTCTCGAAAGACTATGTCATGTGTAGACGCTATTTCTGCCAGCTAGTTTCTTTTCTAGGAAGGAATAATTTCTTCAAAATTCCATGTCCCCTTTTCCGCAGTGGTTGTGTAGACGCTATTTCTGCCAGCTAGTTTCTTTTCTAGGAGGGAATTATTTCTTCAAAATTCCATGTCCCCTTTTCCGCAGTGGTTCTGCTCTTAAATGGGACAGATGAATAGGTGATATATTGGCTCTTTCTCCTAAACGGGGTTATTCATGATGAAGATAAACAATATGGGGTCTCGCTTTCTTCACACTTTGTTGTCAGCCGTCGTTTGGAAGAATAAAACGATGCTGATATATGAAAGGATCTCAGAGTAGGTTTAAGAACAAAAGGGCTAATTATTTTGGCTTCGTAATGGCTAATAATATTAATAGCTAAAGATGAATGTTTTTCAGGCAAAACTTAATTCAATTTTCTTGCCGTCTTAAGACAAATAAAGAATGATATTTTAAATACAGGGTGCGGCAGGAAAACTACCTCATTTTAAAAATGAATAACACAAATAGTATAAGCGACATCAGTTTAATTTTTTCCAAGTTATAGAGAGACACTTAAAAGTTTCTTTTACTACGGTTTAAAAATAATATCATTAAGGTGGCCTTCGTTCTGGTCAATGCATTGAGATAGTCGAGTTTTGAAAATTTTTTCCACTTTTACCAGCATATCAACGGGTATGTTGTCGATAGCAGCTTCAATATTGTTCTTCAGTCGGGCCCAGGACCTTTGGACGTTGGAAATTTCAGATAGTCCCACAAAAAGAAATCCCACGGGGTTAAATCACGCGAGCGCACTGGCTACTGACAATCACCTCGTAAGGAGATAAGGCGTCCAGGGAAATGTTCTTCAAAAAATCATGGTCCAATGATGCCTATTCTGGACAATGCACACCAGACAGTCACACGTTCTGTATGGAGGGGCTGCTCATGAAATTCTCGGGGATTCGTGCCACTCCATGATCGCATATTTTGCTTAATGCGTGCTGCAACCGGAAAGATGAAAATGAGCCTCATCGCTAAAGAACATAAGGGCATCACGAGGCGGTATTTTCAAGAACGGCTTAGCGTATATTTTTTCGTGAAAGAAAATCGCGTGGAGTAGGTTTTTGCACCACAGCCAATTTTTATGGATGAAAACGCAGTACTTTGAAAAGTACGATTCCTCGGAGAACGCGCGCTCCTCTCTCGTCCACTGCATGATCGGTACTAAACCTATATGACATAAAACGTTAGACGCCGCTCTTTTCAATGATCGCCATTCCACTCTTCTCGGAATAAATGTCGCTAGATGGCGCGCGTTTTAAATAAGGAAGCTTCCCTGCCTCACCCTGTATAAAATAAATATCGTCTTCGACCTTTTCAAATTTTTAGGTTTGGCAAGAAATTTTAATGTTCAAATTATGCCACACATATTATCACGTTATCACGTTGACTGCAACCCGCATTTTACGGGGTTTGTCCATGGCTCCAGCATACATTTTACATTTGGCGATGTATATTACGTTAAAATATTATCTACAGAAGATAAGTTAATAATTATGTTTAATGCACCTTTCGCTGGTGAGGTTAACCGGTGAAATCCCCCGAGGAGCTGTAGACCATTTTTATTATTCTTCAGACTATTGTAGAAACAATGGTATTATTTAAAAAAAGATCAATATCGGTATTTACTCTAATCATGTAATTTTACTATTGATCACGTCGCCACAGAGCTGTAACCAAGTCGAATGCCGGCTACCGGTGACCCACGGCAGTTAACGTGTTAATAGACAGATTATTTCTACTTCAAAAATCAAAATAATGTTGCAAACTGTCAGATATGGATTTGGATATCAATTTATAATGTATTTTTCCCGCCCTCCTAGCGCGCCTTCGTGGTGCAGACGTTCTGCACGCTGGGCCGGTATTCCAGACGTCCGTGGTTCGATTTCCGGCGAAGGCGGTGCTCATTTTTCATCTTGCCTACTTCCAAAAAATACCTAATGTCCCTACAACTTGTCAAAGCAACTAAGTAAGTGTATTGGCGATGATGCCAGTATAAAGAAGAAACCTTATAATTTACAGGAGTGTGTTAAAAGCTTTGTAGAAGTGATAAAGAATTAACACATTTACATATTTTTCTGAGGTCTTTTTATGAAAATCATGCTTCATTCTAGTTGTCGTAGGATATTGCGTAGAACTTTATATTCCCCAGCACCTCAAATTTTGAGGATATTTTTAAGCATTTAGAGATAAGTTATTAAGATTATGCTTGAAAAGAACTATGCGTCATTTAAAACTGACTTGCGGTATTTCTCACTCTCACAATTATGATGGAGTGAATTTTGAAATAAACTCCTTAGACTCGCTTATCAACGGATAATGATAATTTAGAAATACTGAATTTTGTCACTTCTTAAAAATTAAACTTGTAAATACTATAATTGAACCAAACCTTTGAGCTAACTAGGAAAAAAAAAGTTCGTTTGACAAAAATTATACAAATTAGTTCAATGTACTTGATGAATTTACGATAGAGATTATTTCGATCATTTGAAAGTAATAAATAAAACAGGATTATAAAACTAGGTTGCTTAATGGGTTTCATAAACCAGAGTTCGTTAAAGTTGCGTAATTGTAGTGTGGGAAGTAGAGTGAAATTGTTTCTTGCTACCGATGGTAAAATACGGAAGACGCAAATGAAAACATACTTTCATGAAAACTTATTTTAAAACCAAACAATGGAAAGATTTGCAGTCTAGAGAAAAAGATAAAATTAACTGTTTATTTAATTAATTTATTCAATCAATATAGAAATATCAATCTATCACGTTGAGCTGAAATTAAATTATTATTGAATACCATTCTGTGGCGATAAATTTGGCAATAATTAAACTTAATTTGCATAAATTTTACATCCTTATGTATAGATTTACTATGCCGCCCAACTGGGATAGCGGTTGGCGACGCGACTGCCCAGGTTCGAATTCCGGAGAAGGCATGGATGTTTGTAATTGTATAGTGTCTGAGCGGCATGGGGCACTCTAAATGTTCGGCGAGCCAAAAAACCCTCCCGAGAGGTTGTGGTAAGGGAAAAGGTAGTGGGAGACTGTGCCTCCGGGGTGCTGTCCATAGCAATGCCACTTGTATGATGCTCAAAGCTCTTGCCAACGACAGGCGCGATCTTGCACTCCTTGCCACGATGAATTTCGTGGGCTTGTTTTGATGTTACTGTCAGACAAGTGAGATAAGTCACGAAAACACAACAGAATTACTATATTCACATACAGAATAGGAAGTATGAGTTCCATGGGCACATGAATGCAGAACTCGTTGTTTCTTATTCTTTGTGATTGAGCAAGAAGAACGTGAATGAACATTTTGAGCGGCATTGATTGAACTTGAGTTGTATTTTGTCTGATTCATAATTTGCCCGGTTCACATAAGTTAGCAAACCCTCACCGTTTAAGATTGGATGTAATTCTACTATTTTAATAAAACAGTTTAAAAGTTCCACCTATATGTGTTTTTGAAAGTAAACAGCATTCAGGATTATAATTATTAGAAAGTATCCCATCCTTTCTATGTTCACATAGAAAATCATTCTAATTGTTTAACTTCATAATTAAAAATGTATTTTTGTCCGTAGTTATGTTAAACAAATTGCCATAAAATGGTAAAAATTATTTATAGAATATGCGCGTTAATTTATTAAATTAAAATTGTGGAATAATCATATCCACTTGATATGGTAAGAGGCAATGCTTTTAAAAATCAATATATTATATTGTATTATATTATATATCTGTATTAGATGTTATAAAACTCATATTTCCAAATTTTTTGGTTTACAACCCAATATGTAGTCGAAACCAATTAATAAAAAAGTTTATAAATGTCGTAAATAAACATTAAGCAAAATAAACTAAACATTTTCTCAGAGTAACATTAAGGGGATGTTTAATATTTCGATTTTTTTAGATATGCTTAAGATGTAAAATTAATGAAATTTCTTTTAATAATATTAGCGTGACTTATTTCATGTCTTGGTTACTGAATACGAAAAACTTTTGTGATAGTTATTAAAAGATTATGATGACCAATATTTTCAAAAGCTTTACATACGTACAAGGAACAGGACATAAAAGCGTTCCTGATTTTTCAAAAATTTTTCCCAATGTTTTACTATCGTGTAAATCTATCTCAGTTATAACGAGCATGAAGGGACAGCGATATTTGCTCATTATAACCGAGTGCTCTTGGTTCCGAAAACTAAAGCAGAAAAAAAATTCAAACTGTAGTAATAAGACATAAATTGAGTTTAAAATTTATCTGAGTATGAGAGATAAAATGCCATTTCCCAAACCTGAAGCGAAACTTTGAGAGATTTAATTTTAAAGAGCCATAAGAATACTTTTATCATTTTACGACGATAACGATATTACTTCTAAATATTTGAAGAGCTTTTTCGTTTTCAGTGTACGAAGACGGGGGAAAAGTGCTGATTGCGTCCAAGATATTCTAAACATGCGAATGATTTTTCAACTTGGATTGCTGCGTTTTTGGACGTGGTAAGTTTGTATTAAATCCTAATAATTCAAAATATAAACTTAGTTAAAAATAATTCAGAACTCTTTGAATATTTAATAAATTTGGATCAGTTTAGATGAAAACATAAAATATCTGGCAAAATATTTTTACTTCCTTGTCCGAAGTAAAGGAGGTATTGTAATCGCGGAAAATTTCGGGTGTCACATTTCACTTAAAATATTCATTTTGAACGCTCTCGATTTCCATTTTAACGACGTTTTTGTGTGACATCTGTACGTACGGACAAAATAAAGAACTCTTTTCTTTCCAAAACGGATTATAAAATGCATTTAAAAGAGATTTGTTTTCATGACGTGTGTACGTACGTACCTATGTACATATCTCGCATAACTCAAAAACGAGTAGCCGCAAAACGTTCGAATTTTGATACAGGACTGCTATAGAATGCAGTTGTGCACTTCCCCAAAAATATATAAATATATATAAATGCATACTCAATCTTTTGCCAGGCTCGGTGAGCTCAATTTTTTTTATTCTTATATGTTGGTAAACTGCGCAGTTTTTGCTCTAAATTTGATTGAATTATGTTGCATTTATGTTCCGGTTAAAGTTTTTACGCCTTTAGTTAATCTGCGTGCAATAGTTGTAGAATTATCAATAATTTAAAAGCTGTTTAAATGCTACTGAGCCTAACGAAACCGCCATTTGTTTACATTTGAAACTCTTATTAGAATAGTGAATGAGGTTAGTTTCTGCACCAACTTCGGTGCCGTTTTGCTGAATGGGATCAAAAGTAAACTTCCAGCTTTATGCGCGGATATAAAGAACGCTTTGGACACAAAGACGGTTCGCCATATTACAAGGGTTTGTGGATTGCAAATATCGAAAAACGCAGTTCATTAGCTAACAGAGAACTCAGGTTATGTGATTCATGTAAAAATGGCTCGATTATCACCACTCTCAAAGCTTCACAAACGGACGAGATCATGCCATTTACAGAAAACACTTAAAGGCAGAACTAGGTGTACCAGCGTGACCCTGCTCCCATTCATACCTCTACTACTACAAAAATTAATTTAGACGTGGAAAGTGTAACTGTTCTTGATTTACCACCTATGAGCCCCGATTTTAACCCAATAGAGAATGTGTGGGATATTATGTCTCGGAAAGTGTCCGAGAATCGAAGTAGTTTTTTTCCCGTGAATGCTTTAAAACCAACCAGCGAGAGTGCATGCTACCATCTGGAATCAAAGTTATTACAAAACGTAGTTATCTGTTGATGGACAGACGCATATTTGAGTTTATACGGGATAATGGGGGCTGCTAAGTATTTAATAATTCGAAATTAATCACAAGTTGTTCAAATAGTAATTTGTGAGGCATATTCTTCTGTGTTTTTATTTTTCTAAAATAGTATAAATTTCCATTTTAGTTGAATAGTTACTAAAATGCAAGTCGCATGTGATGTAAGTAAACAGCCTTTTTATTGGGTGTTTGAGTTCCTGCCCATTTTTCTAAAACACGTAATATAATACTTGAGGCTATAAACATTTGGGACAGAGTGTGCCTAACATTTATTATTATGAATGTCATTTATTATTATGGAAGGCAATACACGATTATATAGAGACAGTAAATCTAGTGGACGCGGATGTTGAGAAAAAAGGCATTGCTGGCATGGAATAATCACCATATCCTCCCCCCCCCAAACTCAATCCGTTATATTTTTTAGAATGCATTGATATCTATGTCTCCTGGAACTACTCGCAAAGTGATTGAAACTGTTCTCTTTAAATAATTATTGCTCTCTAGTGCACTCGACCACTTCGTTGAAATCAGAAACATTTGGAGAGCTTGTATGAAAGTTAGAGGTAGCACGTCCCTCATTATTAAAACGTTTTATAATAATCGCATCAAAATGTTTTAGTATGTAGATTTTGATGTACGTATGCAAATGGCAAAATAATACATAAATATGTTTTGTTCAGACTACTTTTAATCATATACAGTGCATTCATAAAGTCATGGTGCACTTTTGTTCGGTCACAGGAAAGCAACAAAACAAGATATAAATGTGAAATCTTCACAAAGCAAAAGGAAAACTCTCCACGTTTTCGTAGTATTATGTACAAGCACGTGCGCACACAGCTGATGACGCAGCACCGCGAAATGCGAAGGAGCAGATCGCCCATCCACCCCCACGCCAGTGTGTTCTGTGGCTTTCCAAATTCGAATCCGTGACCAAAGTGCAACGTGAATGTCGTCACGTTTACAACGAACCGCCACCACATAGAAATAACATTAATCGGCGGGTTTGGTTTGGTTTATTAGATTACGGCAAAGCACTCGAGGGCTATCTGCCTTAAGGGAGGGATGCCTTCGTGGAGGACTTTTTAAGGGAAACTGGCTCGTATACACGTTACACATGGGGAAAACCACGAAACACCCATGCAGCCAGCCTGTTCATTAATCGGTGGAAAAGCAGTTAAAGAATACCTGCAGTTTGTTGGGTAAACTCCATTTTGGCAGGCCATCGGTCAGTGACGAGTCTGTAGAGGCTATATGGAAGAGTTACATAAGAAACTCTTATAAACTGCAGCTGTTGCACGCTATCAAACAGACGGATAGACCCAAATGATTTGCGTTTGCTGCAGATATGCTTCATGAGGTCGACAAGATAACCGATTTCTGCAGAAGATTGTGTTTACTGGTGAGGCGACATTCCCTGTTAGTGGATATTTTCATTGCCATAACATCCGAAAATGGGCTGCTGAAAATCCTCATGCCCACGCAGAGTACGAACGTAACAGCCCTAAGTGAACGTGTGGTGTTGCCTGATGCATGATAAAGTGATAGGACCATTTTTATTTGCGGAGTAGACTGTGACGGCATGGATGGAGCCCACATAAAAGTGCACTGAATAGGTATGAAACTTTAAGAAGTTTTCTTTTGTTTGGTGAAGATTCTTGTTTCGTTGCTTTCTTGTTACCGATCAAAAGTGTACCATGACTTATCGGACGCACTATATATATATATAGAGAGAGAAACAGACTTGAAGAAGCTAAAGCTAAAATTAAATTGGAGTCAAAGCAAGGCAATTCTTCAACAATATTAATAATTTCAATGGTGTATTAGAGGTTTAACACAATATCTAAAACAAATCAAAATTAAAAAATATATATATTAAATATATATGTGATTAAAAATTACTCAAAGAAAGGTCTGCAATTTAGCCATAATTGTGATCAATTTGGCTACCTTTATGCAAGTGTTGGGTCAAACAAATGATAAATTTTCCGATTAGTTTTAATTTTGCATTAAGATTTTTAACTTTTGAAAAGCAGTGTAATTACAGGTGCAATACGCAGGTTTATGGCTGCGATACTTTGCAAAACCTTCATAACATTTTTCTGAGTTTTTAGAGAAGAAAATAATTATTTATCTAACAATTGTAAAACGCATTACACTGAAAGTAATGAGAATAACCTTCTACCGGAATTGTGATAAATGCAAGTTCAAGTTAGTTGACATACGAGAAAGAAGATTTCAGACAGTTATACAATGGAATTTCAGAAGAGTCTGACAACTTTAGAACAATTACGATGCACATAAAAAATAAACTAATCTGGAAAAGGGAACAGCTAATACGATAATGTGATAAACATATTCAGCGTTCGAAAAAGCAATATATTCCAAATTGCGAATTAGAAATTTCAGTTACTTATTTTTGAAGCATTTCATTCATTACCGCTAGACTATGAAATCTGTTAACCGGACTGAATGTACTAAAAATGAGCAGAAATTATCAATTAGCAAATAAACTCCAAAACATATACGCTAAGTCAAAACATATGACCTTCCACTCATTAACGCGCTGAGCGGGCCTGGAAAAAAGCTGAAACTCGCCTTGGTATGAATGCCACAAGTTCTGGGCAGATGACTGGAGACAGGTTGTGCCAAATATCTAAGCAGCGATCACGCAACGTCGAGGGATTCGGACATGGTGGTGTTTGAGCTCTGAGCTGCCGCTCCATCACATTCCAAATGTGCTTTTTCGGGTTAAGATTCCGCGCGTTAGGTGGCCAGGACACTAACTGGAATTCCTTGTTATGCTTCTCGAACTTCCCGTAGCATAATTCGAGCTTTGTGACATGGGACGTCGTCCTGTTGGAAGATTCCATTTCCAGCTGGGAAAACAGGCGCTATTCTGGGGATGCAACTAATCCGCAGTTATGTTCAGGTAGTGCGCAACTTTTATCATCTGTTCTACCATAACTAAGGGTCCCAGAGCTACCCATGAGAACGTCCCCCAAACCATAATACCACAACCACCAACTTGTGCATGACCAACTGTAGAGGGGAAGCAACTGTTCGCCTGAAAAACGGGGTATCCTGACACGACCATCGACGTGACAAATGCAAAATCGTGATTCATCCGACCAGGCAACTGTCTTCCACTTACCCATGGTCCAGTTTCGATGTTCCCGGCTTTACTTTAGGCGTAGTTCACTATGACGCTTGCTCAACAGAGGTACACGAGTAAGACATCTGCTGCGCAGTCCCATATCCAACACATTCGGCTGAACTGTGTGTTCAGAAACACTTGTGCGGAGTTGCATTGTATTCGATTTTCAGCTAAGCCACTGTCTGGCGCGGATTTCGCTGTACCAAGCGAAACAGTCTCCGACATCCTTTTCTTTGATGACACGTGGATCTTCGTTGTCTACTGCTGGTTTCTTCGTCATTTTGTAGTGTCATTAGGTTTTCATGAAGCGAGAGACATGAAAAATGTGCAATGCCGTCGCCAGAACAGAATTTGACCCTTGTCTGTCGAATACGCGCCGAGTGTGCTATTGTTACAACACGAAGGCATGTAGAAAGGAGGGAAAAAATGCTTTATATCCTCCCCCCTATTAAAGGGCGACTGGGGATTAAGGTACCCAATCGCCAAGTCCTGGTGGTGAAGAATCATGATCCACCACCTTTTAGTTTTGACGCCACTGCAGAGACATTAGTTTTTTTATGCAGCAAGAGACATGAAATATGAACAGTGTCTTCACCGGTACTCGAACCTGGGACTGTCGAATACGCACCGAGTGTGCTACCATTACATTGCGGAGGCATGCAGAAACGTGGAAGAAAATAACCTTATAATTTATCCACTTTGCATAAATAATAATAACTACAGATTGTAACCAACTTACCAGTCGTACTGTTTACCAGTCGTACTTCGGGCCATTACAATCTGCCCTCTATCAAATTCTCTTGTATCATCCGCAAAAATAAGTGCAAGAATGATTCCGTATCTTCTCCAGCAGTAGTTAATGCCATTCCCACTTCGTCACGTGCCCACCACATCATCCAGACTCGTTCATTCAAAAATTTGGGATGGTCATAATATTTCGGCTGGTCAGTGTATATGCGAAGAGGAATTCAGGTTAGCAAGTAGAACGAAAGGTTCAAATTCGAAAACAAGCGAACACTTGTGGAAATAGCTCAGATTCACCAAGTCATATAAATAGCCTTACTGTTATTTCATTTGTTACGAAAATTCTTAATCTATCAATCCCTGAACACAGTTCACGTTAGTCACTGAACTTAATTTCAGTATCCATTAGATTTGTTCATGGTTTAGATTTTCTCTTTAGCATCCCAATTCTGAACACCAAGAGCCAAAACTTCAGCTACTTGCAATGGAAGCAAGAGTTGAAAGCAAAGAACGGAAGTCTTGTTCTGAAATTTAAATTGTCAATTATAGTAATAGTAATTACGTACGCATGTCAAATACGGAAATTTTGCGAAAAAAATACAACTTTTTCTTTTAATGAAAAATCATACTTGTTATAATTAAATTATATATATTACTCCAAACAGAAATCCTTACATATAAATATTGATTATAGGAGAACTTATCACCCATCTTCAAGAATATATATCAGACATTTTAAATTACTATTTAATAATATAGTTAAGTCAGTAGCAGTTAACATTTCATACGGATACTTTTAATATTAACTTTTTTTTTTGTAAAATTACGATAAAATTTCCCTCAAAACTTTTTTATTCACAGCTGAAATTCTCTTTGCCGTTAAGGGGGCCTAGCATCTTACGATTTACCAGAAAACGATGAAAATACTTATTTTCGAATTTTTGCAAAATTCGTACTTCAATATTTTTCTTATACAAGGAAGAAAATATGAAAAATTACGGTAGATTTTTACTTCCTTGTGCGAAGTAAAAATGAAGTATTGTAATCGCGAAAAGTTTCAGGCAGCATATTTCAACGTAAATATCCATTTTGACCGCTATCGAATGCAATTTAACGATGTTTTTGCTTGACATCTGTTCCTAAGGACTCAATAAAGGACTCTTTTTCCCCCCAAAAAATTGTAAAAACTAATTTAAAATGAATTCTGAAGATAATTTTTCGTGGCGTCATGTGCATACATACGTACATATCTCGCATAACTCAAAAACGAGTAGCCTCAGAACGTTGAAATTTTGTATATAGAACTGCTATAACATGTAGATGTTAACCTCGTATCTTGGTTGCAATCGGCCGCACCAAACGTACGTATATAAGCTCCTGGTAACTTTATAGCAAGCTCGTTGCAATATTTCTACCTATTATATATATATATATATATATATCCACTCTATTACCCGGTTCAGTGATCTCAGTTTCTTTACTTTTATATGTTTGTAAATTGTGCATTTTTTGCTTTAAAAATGTTGTACTTATTTTCCGGTTAAGGTGTTTTTATGCCTTTAAGAAATCTGCAAGCAATATTTGTAGAATTATCAACAATTTAAAACCTGTTTAAGTGTGGTTAAGCCTAATTTTTAAGTAACATGGGGAACATGTTTATTTTACATTTGAAAACAGAAATAGTAGATTTGTTGCCAAATCAAGAGAGACTAAGCTTCGCAACAACAAATATAACGTCTTCATTTATTATTGCGAATTAAATCATGCTTAATCCTTTCTGGACTATTTCGAGGAAATAAGTGTTTAAGATTTACTTCGTAATTTTTAATATAGATACTTTGAGTTTTTATGTATATTTGCCTTGTCGCGAAGTGAGAGCTGAATTAATTGAATGAGAAATATTGAATCGTCTGTGAAAAACTGGTTCTTCTTTGTTTTGTTTGCTTAATTTCTTTTATACATCGTTCTAGATTTATTGTAGTATTTGAATAGAACATGCGGCAACGATTAGATGATTCTTCAAATGATATAAATTTTGTGCATGCTGAGTTATAAAATGAACGAAATATAACGCTGTTAAGTGAACCTAGCGCCAGAGGGTCGCTATGGTAAACGAATATAGTGAATTTTAAAAAGTGCATTTATTCCATTGTGGTTTATGCGGTATCGATGAAGTATATTTAATTCAATCCAAACGCGTATAATTTAATATTCTGTACAAAGAAGTCATATGGTGTAGACATCAGATTTTTTAAAATTTGTTAAATTGTTTTTCAAAATATTTAATTTGAAAAATACCAGCATTTCATTTTTCTTTCTTAGAACCAGTTTATCTAAGAACAATATAAGTGCTTAACGGAAGAAAGTCATTGAGAGAGCACGAGCCTTTCTTCTTAAAGAATTTATTCTGCATTGAAATGTCCTGGTGATAACCAAAACAATGAGATAGTTTTGAGGTATAGGTTTTTTTTTAATTTGCTCGAAGTAAAATTAGATTTTTGTGCTTTAGTTCCTTGTCTTCATAAGTGATATAAGGAGATAATAAAGATTCTTTACCTATGATATTGTAATTAACACAAAGATACAAATTTAATCTGCAAGACTGACCTCACTTTGTGAGTCCTTATATGACTTACATACCTGCACACTGCAAGAAGCTCTGTTCGAGTGGTTGCCAGTGCCAAGTCGTTATTTTGTGTCACCGACTGGAGGGACTCTAGGCAACCTTGAAGTCGGTGGAGGGTGCACTCTTCTTCTCCCAGCGACAAAACTGCAACAACAAAGAGGGAAAAAGATTAGCTTTCTTAAATTATGTAAATAACGCAACATAACATTAAAAAAATTGTGTTGTTTTATAAGGTATTCCTTCCGCCTTCCCAGCCTGCCTTCATGGTGTAGGGGTTCTGCACGTTGAGCCGGTATTCCAGAGATCCGGGGTTCAATTCCCGGCGAAGGCGATTGCTCATTTTTCAATTCTCCGGCTTCCAAAAATTCATAATGTCTCTACAGTGGCGCCCAAAATAAAAGGGTGTTGGATGATGATTCTCCTCACAGATGATTTGGCGATTGGGTCCTCTAAAAAATTTCCAGACGCCCTTTAAAAGGGGTAGTCTATAAGGTATTCCTCTTGCCTTCCCAGTGTGCCTTCGTGGTGTAATGGTTCTGCAAGCTGGGCCGGTATTCCAGAGGTCCATGGTTCGATTTCCGCCGAAGGCCCCAAATGTAAGATTCTGCACTGTGTACTTTAAAGTTACAGTTGAGTGTGAAGAATCTTAAGAACTGATAAGCGAATAATCGCTCGAGTTCGTGAGACAGTAACGGAAACTTGAAAAGGGTTAAAGACCTTTTATTCTTCAAATAAGGTCTAACAGAACTCCGTCTTGGAATTGTACATTAAACCCGACTCTCGGGCTTGAACTAAACTAATCTTAACTAAAAAGATATACCCTAAGCTATCAAAAGTGTAACAGAGTTGGCCTCTTAACACTGACTGCGAAGCTATCAAGGGTCTAAAGTACTGCCGAGCGTAATAATAGCTTCAAAGACAGTGGCCTAAAAGGGCGGACGCGTGCTACCCAGAATCTCTGGTTCTCTCTAACTAAGACAGTAGAACTTCACGGTTAAATACCCCTCTTCCTCGATTTGCATTGAAACGTGATTCTAAAAGTACGTTCTGGCCGGAAGTGGTAAGTTGAAATTCAGAAATGACAGGAAAGGAAGTTTAATTCAAAATTTAGCTGTTAGATAAATTAAGATAATCCTTACAGTTTGTTTAATTATGACAAAGTCCTCGATGGCTGCCTACCTAAAAGGATAGGTGTTTTCATAGAGGACTTCGTGTTCGAAAATGACTTGTATTCACTTTGCATATAGGGAAAACAAAATGATTTCGAAATTTATTTCCTTAACAAAACGCATTTAATGAGAAATTCGAACGAAAGGGGAACTTCGGATTTAGTATTTGGTCTCATTACGCAGACTGAGATCAAAAGTTAAACTTTGATCCAATTTCCCATTTGTACAATATTTGCACATTAATATTTTAACTGAAATTAAATAAAGGGTATTATAATATTCATATTAAATCACAGATATTTAGGATTTCGTTTCTAGTATTTGCTTGTGTTCTTCAAAATGCATTATTTAAAAACAAGAATGATACCTGAATAATTGGAATGATTATTTTCAGAACGCCGTTCCTTAGGTTATAACGTATTTCTCCCTTTTTAATAGCGTGCCTACGTGGTGCAGTGGTCAGCACACTGAGCCAGTGTTCCAGAGGTCCGTGGTTCGATTCCCGGTGAAGGCGGTTGCTAATTTTTCATCTCTCTGCTTCCAAAAAAATCCTAATGTCTGTACAGTGGCGCCCGAACTAAAATGGTGGTAGATGATGATTCTCCTCACTCAGGATTTGGTGATTGGGTCCCCTAAGAACCCCAGTCGCCCTTTGAAAAAGGGAGTCTATAAGGTATTTATCTCGCCTTCCTAGCGTGCCTTCGTGGTGTAGTGGTCAGCACACTGAGCTGGTATTTCAGAGGTCCGTGGTTCGATTATTGGCGAAGGTGGTTGCTAGTTTTTCATCTCTCCTGCTTCCAAAAGAAATCTTAATGTGTCTCCAAGGTTCCGAGGCACCAGTGGTATTTCACCTTCATTTCTAATTTAATCTGTGTTGAGATATTTGTAATCGCATTCTTACTGGTTAAAAGGAAGTATAGCTTTCTGTCAAGTCCGATACATTCATTAGCTTTCTGACAGGTCCGAGTTATTCTGAAACTTAAATCTCATTCTGTATGTTTACTTTGATGGTTATTTATTGTGTCTTGTTTATGATTTGTTAAACCATGATCTGTTATAAAGTTATATATATGACCTCTGTAACCGCTTATGGCTGCTAGTGCTTGTACTTACTTATCTCTGCATGTAACTCTGCGTGTATCTCTGCATATCTCAGTAATAAATATTTGTTTTGCGAACCACGGCATTTTCTATGTTTAACAATCTGCATTTCTTAATATAAGCGCTGGCAGTCATGAAGGTGAATGAACATACGGATCTGAACTCATCCAAATCAGGAAGATTAGCTTATCCCATCTGTTGCGAATTGTGCCAGATTATATGCTCTTCTCAAAATTCATAAAAGTCGTATTACTTTCCGCACTTATTGTATCAAATTTAGGTACTGCCTCGTATCCATTGGTTAAATATTTAGTTTCTAGATTTTCAACTCTATTAGACAATAACATTTAACACCATAAAAAATTCAATACAGTTTGTAAAAAAGGTTAAAAACATTTCTCCTAGAAATTTATTCTTTTGATGTAAAATCATTATTCACCAATGCTCCAGTGGAAGGTGTATTAAGATGTCTAGAAACCAGACTTCGCGAATTTCATTTCTTTTGTATCGAAATTGATGAGCTACTTTCTCTCACTCAACTCTGTTTGAAACAAACACATTTTGTTTTCCAAAATAAATATTACAAGCAAACTGAGGGATTAGCCATGGGAAGCCCCCTCAGTCCCATCCTGGCTGATCTATTCTACATGCATTATTATGAATCAAAATTGTTTGAAACTTTAAACTTCCCTGTATGGTTCCGCTACGTAGACAATACTTTTACCCTGTTTGAAGGTAATAAAGATGATTTAAATAAAGTGCTTTCAATAATGAATTCTATTGATCCTGCTATTCAGTTCACTTTTGAACTTGAGACTTACAATTCTCTTCCGTTTCTCGACATTCTGGTCACACGTCCAACTTCAGTACTACGGTTTACCGTAAACCTTCATCGGTTTGCCTCACACCACACTTTAAATTATGTCATCCGACTAAACAAAAGTTAGCTTCATTTTATTCCTATGTTTTCCGTGCTCTTCAAGTTTGCTCCTCCAAACTATCCCTTGATGAAGAACTAAATTATTTAAAAGCAATAGCTGTTGACAGCGGCTATTCACCCAACATTATTAATCAAGCAGTTAAAAAATTCTCATCTCAACACACTAAAAGGCACACTCTTGTTTTAGGAGATTATAAAAATTCTGTTGTCATTCCCTTCTTTCCATCAATTAGCTATAAAGTTGCACATATTTTGCAGAAATTTAACTTTCGGGTTGTTTATTCTCCCATCAATAAAATTCCGAGTTCCATACTCAAGGACCCATTCCGGATATGAATTCCTGGGGTATTTATAGGATTCCTTGCCAGTGTGGTTTAATTTACATTGGCCAAACTAAGAGAGCCTTAAAATTTCGCGTCAAGGAACATGAGGCATATGTTAGAAAAAAGGAAACACAGAAGTCTTCTGTTGCCCAACATTGTTGGTCCGAAAATCACACTTTCAATTTTTCTGCTGCCAAAATTATTCAAAAAACATCTTCCATTGGAGAACTGGATTTTCTAGAGGCATTTCACATTCAAAAAAATCTTTCTGTTCTAGTTAACGATCCTAATTCCAATCCATCTTTGCCTTCGGCTTTTAAAGAAATTGTTTTAGTTCTGGTTTCATCAACAGATGGCGCCACTAGCTTATTTTCTGTCCAGACTTTCTTATCTTATCTGATCATTATATCTTATCTCGTTCATTTGTACTTTTACAGCTGACGATGGTGGTTCGGTAAAACCATCGAAACTAGTCCTGTGAAAATTTGAAAATATAACGCTGATTTTTGTTCTTTGACTTCTGAATTAGTATTTGTTCGGCGTGTTATTGTGTCTTAATCAGTAAGAATACGTTCAACGTCTTCAATCAGCATTTGAAATGAAGTTCCATCTCGCGCTACAGTACTCAAATAATCCCGGATAGCCATAATCCCGGATAATGTGCTTGCCACGTGGAAAATGTTAATCGATGATAATCGCTGCACGTACCAAACGATCCAGAAGGAATTTAACATTGGATTCACAGTGATACATAAAATTATTCATGAAGAATTGCATATGAAAAAACTAGTTTGCCGATGGCTTCCCCGTAATTTAAATGCGCTTCTGAAAAGAAAAGCATGCCAAAATCAGTAAAGAAACACTTAAATTTCTGGCCACCTCAAAAATTCTAATTTTTTTTTTTTTTTTTTTTTTTTTTTTTTTTTTTTTTTTTTTTTTTAAGATTGGAATTAAATCTCAGTTTAGAACTTTTTAAGAATTTTTACAGTCAGAATTTTCACAGTCATACATAATTTATTTGATGTCAATATTTGACATCAATAAGATCAGATGTCAATATTTGACATCTGTATTTTTGACTTTAAAAATAAAATTAAAATTCATGCATTTAAGTGTCAAAGTCTTGTTTTAATTTGTTACGGTCAATGGCATCAAATCAGGCACAATATCAAATGATATCCATGAAAGTAGGAAATATGCATTTCACATACTGACATCTTTCATTTAAAAAACACTGATAAATCTTAGAAAATTCGTTTTCAAAAAAACGCTTCATAACTATTAAAATAATTTTGAGATTATTTATATTTCTTGAGCAAAAAAAAATTATTTCATTGTGAGATAGTTTATGAATTTTTTAGTAAAGTTGCCAAATAACCTAGTTTTGAACAGTGCAACCTTTGCTTGTTATAAAAAGTAATGAAAATTAACAAAAATTGATTACTTCGGTACAAATGGTGTACGCAAAACAATAACTGAAAAATTTTATTAGTATTCAACGCAACTAAGCATTCATGATACAAACAGGCTTTTACCAGATTTGAGCTCAGAAACTTGTGCACAAGGTGATTAAAGTAAGAAACTTTAACATATTGGAGAACTTTTTCTTTC